TCTTCTATGTCCTGGTCCAATCCCTGCCCACGTACTTCCATGGTTCCATTGATGCTTTCCGCTGGTTTCAAAATTTCCAGGTTGTAGGTTCCAGGTGCCTCCTCTTTACCATGGAAAGCACAATCGCTTAACACGCCCTTTCCCCACCAGGAGGGTCTTAGGGCTCTTCACTTCTCCCTGGAGCAAAGACCTGAATCATCCCCATTTACAACCACCCTGTTCCACTTGGCTGAACTCATCCTCACACTCAACAACTTCTCTTTTAACTCCTTTCTTTTACTTCAGGTCAGAGTTGTGACTATAGGTATCCACATGGGCCCCAGGTATGATAATCTCTTCGTGGGTTAGGTGGAACATTCCTTGATCCAGTCCTATTCGAGACCTCACCTACAAATCTTTCTCTGATAAATCGATTATATCATCGGTGCCGCTTCTCTCTTTAGTCTGGAATTGGAAAAGTTCATGGATTTCGATTCCAAATTTCACCCTGCCTTCAATTTCATCTGGTCTATCTCTGATGCTTCTCTTCACTTACTAGACATCTCTGTTTCCATTTCTGGGGATAGGCTGCCCACTAATATCCACAAGAAAGCCACAAACTTGCACAGCTACCTGAACTGTATATCTTCACTCCCTGCTTCCTGTAAAGACTCCATCCCATTCTCTTCCTTCTTCCTCAGTCAAGGATTCCCCAGCACACTTGTTAACAAGGTCCTCAACTGGGTCCGAGCCATCTCCCGCACATCCGCCCTCAACACCATCTCTTCCCTCCTAAAACAGCGATAGGTTTCCTCTTGTCCTTATCTAACATTCAACCAGCATCCACATCCAGGAGATCATCAGACACCATTTCCGCCACCTCCAGTGAGATGCCACCATCAGTCAAATGTCCCCGTCCCTTCTTTTTTCCACCTTCCACATGGACCGTTCCCTTTGGGATACGCTGTTCCACTCTTCCTTCACTCCCAACACACCCCACAAAGCCCCGTGGAACCTTCCCCTGCTAAAGCCAAAGGTATGATAGCTGCTAATTAACCTCTTCTCTTCCTACTATCCAGGAGCCCAAACACACTTTCTAATTTGCACTTCGTAGAATACAGTCGACTTTATTTGATGCTCACAATGTGTTTTCGTCCACGTTGGGGAAATGAAGCGGAGATGATGTGACTGTTTTGCATAACATCTGCGTTCTGCTCGCAGAAAAGACCCTGAGCTTCCAGTTGCCGATTACCTTAAGACACCAAACACTTACCTGGCAAACATTCCCGTCTCTGGCTCGCTGCAGTGTTCCAGCGAAGCTCAACTCCAGCTGGAAGAAACAACACGTCATTTTCAGCTCAGGAACCTGCAGGTCCCCGGATTCATTATCAAGTTCAATAACTTTAGGACCTGCACTCTCCCATGTCCTAGCGCCCTATCCCACACACGAGGACTTGTTATCACACAAACTGCCGTTACACACTACTTATTGTTAGTCACTAACAGTCCCCATTAAAAGCAATTCACCCTCCTAGCCAGATCGTTATCAACTGCTTCAGCGATAGTAGGAACTGCAGATGCTGGAGAATCTGAGATAACAAGGTGTAGAGCTGGATGAACACAGCAAGCCAAGCAGCATCAGAAGAGCAGGAAAGCGGACGTTTCGGGCCTAGACCCTGAAGAAGGATATAGGCCCGAAACGTCAGCTTTCCTGCTCCTCTGATGCTGCTTGGCCTGCTGTGTTCATGCAGCTCTACAACTTGTTATCTCGTTATCAACTGCTTTGTCTTTCCAACTGCTCTTCTCTCTCTTCAGGCTCTATCATTCATTCAATTGTTTACTCCGTACCCCATCTCCGTCCCTATTTTCTGCATACAAGCAGCTGCCACCAGTTCTGAGGAAGGATCACTGGACCCAAATAGTTGCTTCTGAGTTTTTCATCATAGATGTTGCCAGATCTGCTCAGCTGTTCCAGCACCTTCTGTTTTTGTTCCTGATTTACAGCATCCGCATTTCTTCAAGATTTCCTAAAGTTGTGAAGTTGTCCTAATGAAAAGCAAGTTCATTGTCATAATATGCCTATCTAAGTCCATAATTAAAGAGAAAAGGAACAGGAATGTCGAAAACACGAGTAGTGATAAACTTTGCAAATATCTGTGCACAACCGTCATTCAAATTGCCATCATGTGCTGCAACGTCCTATCCTGTGTTCCATGTCAACAAAGGGTTGGGGGCACTGTGTTAGGTTTTGAACCAGTGCCGGAATTAAGAGACATGGGATTAAGCCAATGCAAAATTGTGTTACTGTAATGAGCTTTCAATGTTGCTTTTCCTGTTGATATATGAAGAAAAATTAACATACACATCGCAACAATGCGAGTAAACGCACGTTTTGAAAGTGAAAATTGAAACTTTAGGATAAATGTTGAGACATTTCTCTTGTTATACTGCGAAGGATTACACTGCGGAAGTTTCAGCTACAATGGAAAAGGAATACAACCTGAATTATTGGACGCTGCAAATGGAGCTGTGATGCACAGTATCCTTACATGAAACTGTTTTACCGAGATGGAAGGCATATGGTACAAAGTATAGCTAACAAGTCTGATTGCAATGAATTATGCCTGTAAATTCAGCTAAAATAATATCCCCATTTACGCTTTGAATAAGTGGAAATGTGATTGTTTCTTTACCTCATTAGTCGATCCAAATTCATAACATGGACACGAACCCCTGTATCAGCTGCAAGGAGTTCTGATAGTCAGAGAATAGCTCTGCTCACGGGGGAGCTCGAACAACATGAATTATTTTCCTTCTCTGGATTTGAATACGCAAAAAAAGAACTGTTAGTTTAGTTTAATTTTTCTCCAATAACCTGTTGTCAGGTGAACAATTTAACGTTGTTATTCCCCTACTCCCCTCCCGTCCCCATGCATTAGAGCTCAAAGGAGCTTGAATCTCATTGGTTGAACTGAAGAGAAAAGGAGCTTAAAGCATATTGGCTGTCCCCTGATGTCTACGCCAACCGGAAACCAATGAACAGCGATTCTAAAATTATTCAAACTCGTCCCAATTCTTGACTAAAGCAATTTCACCTTCGGCCATTTCTGCTGACATTCACTGTAATTGTCCTGCAAACAGATCTTTACGAAACCTATTGGAGCATTACTGAATATGACAGTGTGCCAGGCAAGCACTGAGATTTGGAGTGGATCTGAAATGGTTCCCAAATTCGTGGTGATATCTGATGCCATTCATATGAACACGTAACTTTATTCATTATAAATATATTCTTGAAATAAACTGAAACTTGCAGTTCAGTAAATGAAAAACAAATATTTTTCCGTGCCTTTTGAGATGTCTCAAATTGTGTCACTGTTACAGCGAAAAGAGGTTGTGGAAAATGTTGCAACCGGTTACATCCAGCTAAATGTTTTGCATTCGGTTCGAGAAACAATAAACTGTTACGTGAATCTAATAATGCAACATTGGAGTAATCTGAACAACGTCAAACATTTGTGGGTATTTAGCACTGCCCCTGCAGCGACACGTTGCCAGATCCAGAATGGAGATTGATAGGTTCTCTGTTCCAGGATAATGCCGGCTCCCTTTAAAATATCAACCAGAAAGTGAGATGTAACTCAGATGTGAAGAAGACGAAACAAACGAACTGATTCAATAACAGCTGATGAATGAGTCAAAGTCATCACTGTAAGGCTCTGTCGCATGTGGTTTCAGCTTGCTGGGCTGTCTGGAAATGAACTTTCTTCGCCCACGATGAAAGTTTATTGAGTCTTTGCCGGTGGTTCACATTTGGGTATATCAATAGTATAAAGATCAGCGGATTCCTCTCCTCGCTCTGGTGATGTTTGAGAGAAACCAAATCTTATTGTGATCTCAAGTTGCCCTGGAGAAGGTGAAAGTGATTTTCCTTTTGAAACGCTGAGCTCTTTGGGACTGTAAGGACATCCAAACGTGCACGCAGCTAGGGAATCTCAGGATTTTGACCCAGCGGCACTGAAGACTGTTGAAAGACAGCAAAGTCACTCATTTAGAGGGAAAGTTACAGTTGATATGGTAATCCCAAACCTCTGGATTTTCCACTTGATTTGGTTTATTCCTTGATCAATATCTCCTACCGAATTCCATTCCTCTGAGCATTGAGACACTTTTATTAGTGACTGCAGCGAAGTTTCCCTTGTTGGTCTATGAAATAACGAATGGACATTGATATTTCTTTTCCCCAAAGTCATCCACAGATCCGTCATTTTATAATAATTAAATCTGTTGTTACTGAGCAAATAATTGTAGCGAATCAATTCTCCCCATAATGGTAATCAAATTTCGAACACGGATCCGAACAAGGCTTGTATCTAAAATGTTATTTCACTTCTATCTGCTCGAATCTACCCTTCTTTCTGCCTGACAGGAAAACATTTAAACTTCATAATTTGGATCTGCAGTGAGAGAGACAGAGAGTGTGGTATCAACATTTATGATTTATTTGTTCCCTGTGCCCGAGAACAGACTGACATCAGGGAATTCAAGCATTCCAGTATGAGTTTTGAATAGTTCCCATTAACAGGAGCTCAACATCAGCAGAACAAAAGGAACAGTCTGTACCCCGGCCTGCCAGTGAGAACTAATTAGGACTGTTTAAAGTTGCAGCAAAACTTTCCCCTTTTCCTGGCTAAGGCAGCGCTAATGTAAGGGTAGTCAGAGCAGGTGAACGTCATATTGAACATTGGGAGATCGGAGAAATGCTCCCTGCAGACATTGATTCCACTGGTGGCACCAGTAGTATTGACATATTTACATCCCGGAATAAATCCTTCCATTTCATCATTCTGTCTGCGAAATAATGTTTCAATCCTCTCACCGAATGTCAGCATACATTAATAATTGATCAACTCCACCACAGATAATCAAGCAAAATGGAAGCATACCGATGTATGTCCGCCCAAAATAAGTGTGAACGGTGTGAATCTGATGGAACAGCTCTCCACGGGCGGCACTGCAACAGCTTTGCGCAGTGGCGGTATTGCAGCTTATGAGGTTGAACCAAGGCACGGTTATTGCTTATTGAAAACTTTACCCTATATCTTGCTGTGCTGATTTGCAATCTAATTAGTCATAGCAATTTTTGATGATCTCTGCAGAGCCTGTTTCGTACTCTGCAAGGAAAAAGTCATGAATGCAAATCACCCTGAAGGTATGCTAAAGTAATGTCGTCGTTAGCGAAATGTGAAGTGAAAATGGCATGCACCAGAAAACTTCAGCAAACGAGGCAGCATCTATGGAGAGGGAAATATAGTTAACGTTTTGGGGTCTGATATGATTCTTCTTCAGAATCTTTTGTTCATGTGATGTATTCACAGTTTTTACCACAAGTAGTGACAGATGTTCAGTTAACACAGTGCTGCTGAAATGCATGGGTGAAACTTAAATTTGTAAAACCTGATTTCCTAATAGTCACTCATTCTTTCAACACGTTGTTGCATTTCCCTGAATGATCAGAGTTGCTCCTTTATATTGAATTAGGAATTAGCTCCCTTTGGAAATTTCCATCATCTTTTCTTTAATTTTCCTTTCTGCTGTTAGCCTGTCCCTCTTCCCCGCCCAGTTACCCCACGACAAATTGTGCACAAAGAAACTAATGGATCTTCTTCGAAAAAGTACTTCTGAGAATCTTGTATATTGTCACCACCTCCGTCACGTTCGTGATAACCAATATCCTCCAACGTTACTGTCATACACGAATGTGGAAACTATATTTCCAGGCCATTTCGGTCACTGATGAAATATCAGTGACTCCAGTCCCGAAGGAACATCACATCCGCTGTCCTGCAGTCTGACTGATGACCCATGACCCGCACTGCTTTTTTCTTTCCCATTTTTCTGTCTGGATAAGAAACAATACAAAAACAAATTATTTTGGCGAAACTCGGCAGGTCTGGCAGCATCTCTGGAGTCAAATATCAGTTTTGGTTTTGAATCAGCAGTTTTATCACTCTTTCTCTATCTCTTTTTTTTATCAGATTGCAACCATCAACAATATTGAAAGGAATTCGTAGCTTTAATGCTTCTCCCATTGCCCTTCTGTGATAAAAGTCTCTTCTAAAACGCTTGTTTTTATTATATTTCTGTCAGTTACCAGCCACACCGAATTGAGAATTGGTCCTTTCAGTAACTACCTCAACATATGCTTATGTCTGTTTCTCTTTGCCTCTGTGCATCAACCTTATCCTCTTTCACTCTCTCAGTTCCCCTCTCTGTCCACTTTTGTCATGTCAAATTACTGCTCTTCGAAAAGCCTGAAATTCAGATAGAGTTTGAGAATGGCGCTGCTGATATATTTTTACCCTGGCTGGTATGTTTAAATCTGGGTTCACAATCTCGTTTCTGATGAAGGGTCCAGGCCCGAAACGTCAGCCTTTCTGCTCCTATGGTGCTGCTTGGCCTGCTGTGTTCATCCAGCCCTGCATCTTGTTGTCTAACATATCTGTTGTAAGGACTGAGGTGAGATGAGAATGGTTAGATGCCTAAATGGAATTTCTAATCCATCACCAAATCAATTCCATAATAATTAGAGGTTATATAATTACATCTTTACTGTTGGTGTGAAATTAAGGAAAGGTCACAGCAGAGAAAGAGGGAGGTGAAACCAGGATCGCCTGTCAACTGCACAGCGCAGGGAAAGGCACGGTGGCTCCTTTTGGACTACTTCTGCCCAACAAGATACCCATTTTCTTAGCCATTCGATCACAGTAACTCGGTATTTTTCTGTTTCAATGTTGCTCATTGAGAATTCCCATCACCTTCTGCTTTTGCATAAATGGACAATTAACAACTGAGCAGTCCCCACTGAAATTTCACAGAAAGAGACAATCTCCTCTTGCATTGGTTTAAAAGGGACATTTTCACCTGTTAAACTAAGTGGATAAAGGGGATGCGTCGACCTTCTCAGAGCCCACTAACTGTGTCACTGCACACAGAAGGAGCTTCACAAAAGGAAGAGTTTCATTGTGGTTAATTGACCAAGCGTGATGTGTGACTCAGCCTAAACAGCGGACATTTAAATCTGATCCATTAGCACCTACATGAGCCTTCGAGCACAAGCTCCACGCTCTCCATGTGCCTCAAGCATTCCACTCATCACTGTCTTTCAATTTTTTTTCAGTCCGTAAGTAGCTGCTCACAACACAACTCCACAGAACGTGGGGGTTAGGCATGGGCTGGCTCAGTAGCATAATTGATAATATGTATGATCAGAGAAGTACAGGGTCAACTCCTCCTTATCTCGCTTGCAGTTCACAGCTTTGCTATCCTTCTAAGCTAAATTTCTTCATTGTCCTGAAGGCGAGATGAGGTTTGAATTCCGGATGTGGAGGAATGAGAATGATTTCAATGTTTCATACGAGCAGCTTTTGGGTTTATTTTAGATCACTATCCATTTCATGTCTCAGCTCTCAGCAGCGATTCTCAGTTTTTGGGAAAGTATCTTGCGTTCTCGTAAAAGCTGCCTTTTGTCAGAAAATAGAAAAACTTGAATCTGGGGACGTGGAGCTGACGTGAATAACTGGCACATTTGGCTACCTGAAACCATTGTTATCTGCTTCCATGCTGGTGTAGTGATAGGATTCAGTGCTCTCTCGGTCAGGGAAGGGAAGTTTAGATAACCCTGTTAATCGTTAATCTTTATTTGCATTTCTTGTTCTTTTACATAAATACCACTTGGCCTTTAAAAGTAGAAATACGTCATAAACTGTAAGAATTATTTCAGTAAGTGTTCCAATTCCACATCAGGAGATCACCTGCAATTGCCTGGTGCGTAATCGGTTTAAAACAAAACCAGACGAGGTACTAGGAAAAGTGAAGGACAATAGTGATTTGTGAGAGGTAACTTCAGACCTAATGCAGCCTCTGTCAATATGGGTGCTCAAGACCGGTTTTCACTGTTTACTATGGCACTCAGATCACTCTGAATATTTCAGCCAAAATGTCGTTCTATCGTTTAGTTTTGTTCGGGGAGAAAGATAGGTTTAACTGGCTACACGTTAGTTTACAGCTTCGTATTGAAACTTTAAGTCGTGGGAGAAAAAATAGTCCATTCAACACTTCGAGCCTGCTCCACCTTTCAATATGAACGTGGGTGATCTGATAATATTCAACTCTACTATACTGACTTTTCCCATAACACTTCAGTTCATAACTGATTTAAAAATCTGTCTATTGCAACATTGTATATAATTAATGACCCAGCATCTACAAACTTCTGATTTCCCCAGATGCACAACAGTGCGAAAGAATAAATTACACCTCATTTCTATCATAACTATGCGACCTTATACTGAGAATCTGCCTTCTGGTCTAAGACTATCTCAGAAGAGGAAACAATCTTTTGACATCAAATATGTCAAGCCCCCGAAGAATCCTGTGTGTTTTAATGAGGTGCGGTGTTTATGCAGTACTGAGTCCTGCAATTAGGAGCAACTGCATAGACAGGAGCAGACGAACATGCTTTTGGCCTTTTTCCTGTATTCGACCTGTTCCCTATATTTGTATTCAAGCCTGCTAACAAGGTTGGTGCTGTTGCTTTCTGGCCAACTGATATCTACATTGCCCAGGCCGATTGCCAGCTCTCAGATGCCTTCTCTTATTTCCTCGCGGACCATGACCCCAAAATGCAACATCAGGCCACCGTCACGAACCACATTTCATCTGATGATCTTCTCACCACTGCTTCCAATATCGGAGTCTCCCAACCAAACACACCTCGCTTCTACCTCATTACCAAAATCAACAAATAGGCTGCCCGGGTAGACACATTGGTTCCATCTGCTCCAGTCTCACATAACGTATCTCTTCCTCCGTCGACTCGTCTTTTCTCTCCCTTTGTCCAGTCCCTTCCCAATTACAAAAGCGGATCATGCAACGTTTTATGTTGGTTTCAAAACTTCGAGATAGCGTGATCCAACGCTTTACTATTTAATTACAATCAATGTACACGTCAATTTCCCGTCATGATCATATGAAAGCTCTCTGCTTTTTTCGCAGAAAAGGGCCTGAACCAGCCCCACCAAACATCGCCCTCTTCTGTCTGGCTGAGCTACACATCAATTCTGAACAGCTTCTATTTAAACTTACCTAATTTTCTTCAGGTAAAAATGTGGCCATGATTACCCGCAAGGAGCTCAGATATGCTTGTGTGTTTGTCGGATACGTGGAAGATTCCTTGTTACAGTCTTATTCATCCGACACCCACAGCTCTTCCTCCAGTATGTCGATTTTGTCATCATTGCGGCTTCCGTCTGTCGTCCGGAATTGGAAAAGTTTATCAATTTAGCTTCCAATTTACACCCCACCCTCACATTCACCTGTTTGATATCATACTCCTCCCTTCCCTTTCTCGAAATCTCTGTTTTCATTTCTTGGGATAGGTTGTCCACCAGCATCCACAACAAATGAAGTAGCATCCAAAGTTTCCTTGACTGTACATCCTCACAACTTAATTCCTGGAAAGATTCTATTCCATTCTCCCAGTGCCTCCGTCTTCTTTGCATCTGTTCTGATAATGGCAAGTTCGAGAAGAATGTGTACGAAATATCCACCTTCTTCCACAACCAAGGTTTTCCTAGCAGCGTACTTGACAGGGCACGTAGTTGTTTCCGAGAAATCTCCTGCACTTCAGCTCTCAATCCCTCTGTCTGCTCCCAGAAAAGCAAAAATGTTTCCCCTTGTCCTCACTAAACATCCCACTTGCAGCAACATCCGGAGAATTATTAGCTGCTATTTCTACCACATCCAGTGGGATGACACCACCAGACATATATTCCACTCCCCTATTTTACCTGCTTTTTGCAAAGCGGTTCTCTCTTGTACACCATGGTCCACTTCTCTTTCACTCCGATCGCTCACCACAGTACCACAGCACCTTCCCATGCAACTGCAAAGGGAGTAACATCTGTCCGTTTGCCTATTCGTTTCTCAATATCCAAGTGCCTAAACAGAATTTCCTGGTGAAGCAGCACTTTGCCTGTATTTCACTCAAAATAATCTACTGCAATCGTCGTCCCCCACATTGCGGCGACCAAATGTAGATGGAGAGATTGCTTCACAGTATACCTACGTTCTGTCCGCAAAAAAGACCCCGAACTGGCCG